TCACTAAATTGCCTGCCTCAGCCTCCCAGAGTGCTGGGATTAGTTGAGATTATACATGTACCATGATGCCTGGTTTATAACTGACTAATCATTTAACTACTTGGGAAATAAATTCCGAATTCTCCTTCCTTAATCTGACATACCAAACGGACCAAGTTTTTACAAATCATTACATTATTAGAATGACAATCACCAACACACACATCTTAGGTGTAGTCGTGGTCTGAGAGTGCTTTCTACATAGCGGAGTTGAATCTCCCCGACAACCCCGCTGTTGTCTCCATTTTACAGCTGAAGGAAATTCAGGCACAGAGAAGTTAGAGTATTTTCTCAGGATCACACGGAGTCTGTGTCCTTCATCAGTTTTACTGGTACAGTTGTAAAGAAAGGTGATTCTCACGCCCAAGAGCATAATCCTCGTGCTCTTACTTTACATTTGTGTGTAGTGTTTGGAAATTTTATAGTGGATGTGGGTTACTTTAAAATTTATAAGAAATAATTTGTTCCCTCCCCCTCTCCGTCTCCCTCCCCCTCCTTCCCTCCCTTCCTCTCCCCTCTCCCTGCCCCCTCCCTCCCTCTTGCATCTACCATTGCCTTCCTTCCACTTGGCAGGGGTTAGTCAGACTGTTGATCTGTCCAGGACTTGCAACTGAAGGAACCAGGGAGCTTCTACACGACATTGTGTGTTGGAATTACATCCATATTTGCCAATCCTTCTGAAATGTTCTGCTGTCTGTGGGGCTGGGCCAAGTAACTCCCTCTGGCTGGGTCAAGCGTGTGCTTGTTTTCAAGCACTGAATACCGTTTAGGCTTTTTCTCAACCAGTCTTCTCAAACGTTGAAGTATGTACAATCACCTAGAGGATGCGTTAAAAGTTTCTGATTCTGAGGGTAGGGAAGGATAACCCTGAGATTCCCTAAGACATGCCCAAGTGAGGCCCATGCTGACGGCCTGGGACCACACTGAGCAGTAAATGTCTAAACCTCTTTCGTCTCTGTCAGCTCCAACTCCTACTTCTATGTGCCCTGAAAGTGAAGCCTGCAGCAATCTGACTGAAAAGACCAAGAAGAACCAAGGCTGATTCTTTCTGAAGAATCTAGCTGTTCCCAAAAACTTCCAAAGAACACCTCTTGGATAAAGACAAAAGAGCGTGGGTAAGCAGAGCTTTTCATTTGCTTTATTCAAACTTGGTCTCAACAAATAAACCCCTGCAAAGCTGACACATGGAGCACAGGACTCACAAAGTGGGAGAAGTCCCCAAAAGTTGGACATGTGCCCGATAGGGCCAGATGACCAAAACTGACACACTGCTCCACTGATACTGTAGGGTTTTGCTTGCTCCTCCACTTGGGTATATTGCTGTTATCTGCCCCTGTAAGCCCCTGGACCAGGCATACATTACTTTTCTTGAAAACAGAGAAACAGTCTGAGATCTTTGGGTACTCTTTCTTTCTTGTTGTGGTCCTATAAAAAAGCAATCATCACTTTCTCCTAGCACATCAAAGAAACCAGTAAATGATTTCCTGAGAACCACGCAAGCAAGATAGCAGTGCAGGGCCAGTAACCAAAGATCCAGGCTCGGGCTGGGGATTTAGCTCAGCGGCACAGCGCCTGGCAAGTGCAAGGTTGTGAGTTCGATTCCTGGTACTGGAAGAGAAAAACAAAAAACAAAGTTCCAGGCTCTACTTTCTACTGCTGCTTCCTGCTCGGTGCTCATTAGCAGGGAGAAGAAAGGTCCCCACCTACGCTGTGCCCCCACCTTGCACCAGGCACTTTGGCAAGTCTTTTTGTTGGGATCACATCAGAGCAACAAACCGGGCAGAATCAAAGTATCAGCCCCATATACTAACAAAACAAATACTGATCACAGACTTATAAAATGATCCCATGTAGCATATAATGAAAGCAGAGTATTGTGCAGGAAAATATCATTTATATGATCATTACAATTCCTGTAGGTTAAAGAATTCCGATATGGCACTGTTGCCTGATTGCTCATTCTTTGCTGGTGTTAGTCCACTATATGAAGACCAAGGTATTTGATTTATGCTATTGAAATATATATTTGTTTTGTACGTATGCCAGCACAAACCCCCTGAGGGGTTCAGACACAGGCAAGAATGGTGCCACCCTCAAGGAGCTTACTGTTTCCTAGAAGGGATACGAAAGGCAAATATGTAACCGTGCCACGCCTCATTAGATGGGAGTGCCCAAAAAGCAGTTCAGATACCTTCTCCATTTAGGAACCAAGTGGACTAGGGAGTCAACCAGGATGAAAGGAAGACCGGAGAGAAGGGGTGCTCTTAGAGAAGAGGGCTCCCTTAGGCCCTGAGAAGGGGAAGCAAGCCAAGACAGAGCCACGGGAGCATCCACGGAGACCTAGCCATGCCCTGAGCAGAGCTTGGTAGAAGTCCCACCGCTGCTGCAGTGGACCCACAGTCAGCGAGAGGACTCCCCTCAGCCTGGGCCAAGGTGCTGTCTGGTTCTCACCAGAGCTCAGCGGTGAACTGTGTTTTCCGGATATTTGCTCCTTCCACACAGCTCTGACTAAGGCAGGAGCTTGCGTGTGGATGGTGAGCCAAGCTCACCTCGGTTCATACGCAAGCCTGAGGTGGTGGGTGGCTCACCACCGCCCAGAAACAAAAGGTCTCCGCGATTCAAGTTGAAAGGAAGTTACCAAATTCTTTTGTGCTTTTTTCCACAAAAAGAGAGTTGGGAAATTTTCAAATCACTTTCTAAAATCTTGAGCCCTGAGTTGCCCCTTGCCCGTTCACTTGTCATGAGCACGCTGCCCCCTCCGGCCCAGTGCACTCTTTGCAGCTGGTCAGGCTGTCCACATCAGGACTCTTGCAGCCCAGGCACTCACACACTCAGAGCCGCACGGTAGAAGGCAGGAGGTAGAAAGCCTCCAGTTCACCCTCGTAGGCTGCGGTCCTGCTGTGTACGTGCCCAGCGTTAGCCTGGTTAGAGTTCACACAGAAAGTCCAGAATCTCAGTCCCAAAGGTCCTTGATCACCAGCCAGCCGGACTAGCACCAGGCAGGACAAAGCATCCCAGTTGGCTTACGAGCCTGTGGGGAGGTGGTGTTATGGAAACACTGCTTGGTGCCATAGCAACGCAGAGAGCCTGTGCCTCTGCAGCTGGCAGAATGCACGCGCCCAGGACAGGACTGTGAGGAGCCCCCCACAAACAGATTCCCTGTGTTATCAAGGGACAGTGGGTGATTGCAGATCCCAAGGGCCATACCTATCGTTACAGTGCTGGCAAACGAAGAAAAGCAAGAACTGTGGCTTGTTTCAGTTCCGTCTTTCTCTAAACAAAACACGTCGTCTTGTTTCTCAAGGGAGAGTGAATGTACATCAGACTTTCACCTTGTTCTCTGTTCGTGACGTCACCGAGCCCACTCCTCCCGTGCGCCTGGTCTGCTATGTGTGGTGTGTGTGACATGCTGTAGGATTTCCTTCTAAGAGATTGACTGTCTGCCTTCAAAGAGTTTTTCTCCAAAAGTACAACATATCAAATGAGGTTTCTCTTTCAATCTCAATCTTTGCTTTAAGTACGTGAAAGGAGTGAAATGGTGTTCATGACACGATAGAATAATTTTTTTTCACATTCAAATTAATCATGACTGTTATTTGTCAACTCTATTTACACACATGTATGTATATATGTGTGTGTGTGTGTGTAGATAGGATAAGAATCATATAAAGTTTTACGTAAAATTCCTGGTAAGTTAAGGCATTCCAAAATGGCACTGTTATCTGGTGGTTGATATTGTGTGTGTGTACACTGCTACACACACTGAGATGTTTATGCTGTGGAAATAGGTGTTTGCCATGCATTTGTTATGTAAACACAAAACCTGTTGGGGGAACAAACACTGTCAAGAATATTTGTCCTCAAAGAACATAGTGCTCCGTACAGGGGAAAGAAAGGCAACCATGTAGTTACGTCACACATTGGATGGCGTATATTATGTAAGCAGGTCATGGGTGCCTACCCGCTCCCTAGGGATGGGCAGCTGGTAGCCAGACTGCGGCAGTACAGACTGGCTTTGCTTCTAACCCTGACACACTGCAGGCTGCATCTACTGGTGCACACCAGTGAGTGCTTTATGTAAATGCAAAGAAACTACAATATCAAGCAAGTCGACAGAATTTGAAAAGGAAAACTTGACCTGAAGGCAGCAAACATATTTTAAACCTAAGAAATCTCTGCGTTTTGGATTGTCCCACCTTTTGGATAGTGGTAGGAATGTGCTGTTCCTCCACAGTTCAGTTAAGGTTTAAACACATCTCAGGTATTCAGTCTTTTTCCCTTGGCCTCCAGGGTGCACAGCTGCCGAACTCAGATCAGGTCTGCCTGGCGCTTCTGAACAAGCCTCATTCTTCAATCCCTCAGGGTAGGAGAGGGAGTCTACTGCCGCCCCTGCCGAGCTGAAGCCAGCTGGGAACAGCATTCTTAAAGAAATGGGAGAAAAACAAATTCTGTCCACACTGGGATGCCCCAGTTTAGAAAAAGGCAAATACTTCAATCCACAGAGAAGACAGAGCCTCAGTAAGTCGAGGGAAATTGCCTGTGACAACTCATCAGCATTGCATTAGGTGGAACTGGAGTGCTTTGTCAGGAGGATTTTTAAACTCCTTCCAAACAAATAAATGCAAGTACTCAGTTCACCCCCGCTCACTTTACTAACTTTAACCATTATTAACTGGACCCGATGGTGACTTCATTCCCACCCACTCCAGGGTCTGGAGCGACTTGAAATAGCCCTTCCTTTCCCCTCCCTCCATCTACTCTTCTCCCACACACAGGAGAGAATGAGGGGCACTCAACCAGATTCTATCCATTTTGACCCTTCCCGGCTTCTTTTCATCACCCCCAGAGCTACACGCCACAGTGTATTTTATGCTCTGCTCTAAGCAACTATGAAATGATCCAATTATTCCAATCCCTAGAGGTACAAAGCCCTGATTGCATGAAGATCGGAAAAACAAGAAGACAAATCTGACATTTATTTGCCTGTCGTTGAAGGGCAACCAAACACTCAAGTGAGATGTCACACTTGTATAATAGGCCATGGGACTGCAATTCCCTCTCATGTTGATGTGTAACTCGGGGAAACCAACTGCACAGTGATGTAATGAATGTGTAATCTAGTCAAGAACCATGAGCTGAATGCCCACTCTGTGCAAGGCTTTGTGAGAGATACCAAGGGCTTATTATCTAATTCGGAGGCAAACATGCATCCAAGAAAATTCACTTGCAAGAGAAGAAAGAATATGTGAGCGCCCCTGCCAGTGACATAAAGGTAAAAGTTCAGAGAAGGAAAGGAATACTGTGACAAGCACAGCCAGAGGAGACTGGGGGGTGGTGTCACCGAGCCATGGTAGAGATAGGGGGTCAGCAGTCAAGAGGAGAGACAGAAAGGCTCAACCACTGTGAACAGAGAGTCCTTCCTGGGACCGAGAGAAGGCTGGGATTGGAGAGTGGTGGGACAGTCCATCATGGCAACAAGGTCATCTGGTCTTCAGGGTGCCCATCTTCCCTTGAAGAATGATCCTGCTTCTACTTGGTTTTCTGGATCACTTCACACAATGGGCTCTAAGGCAAGTGTTATTTTCCAAAAACAAACACAGCAGTGGTTCTGGTCTCATATGTTTTCTCAGAATCTTGCTTCTGCTCCTGCCAAGGGGCATAGTCTATTCCTCCTGAATTTGGGAGAACCTTTGTGGCAGGCTCAATAAATAGACTGCAGTGGAAATAAAGCTCATGACTCTTAAAGCCCGGTCATAAATTGTAATATGATTTCTGCTCCTCTCTGAGGACTTCGCCCTTGGAATCCAGCTGCCACATTGGGGAGAAGCCCAGTGTGGGTGTTATGGTGACAAGCCCAGCTAGCCAGAAGAATCATCTTCAAATAATGCCAGCCCCAGCTGGCAGTGGGTGGAGGAGAGGGGCTATCCATGCTAAGTCCTTCCCAAATTGGATTTTCAAAAGCAAGATGAATGCTGTTTGTTTTTCACTTTTGGGGTGGTTTGTTACACAATACTTGATAAATGGAATAGATTCCATATCAGCTCCCTGACTCAGTCCCACTAAAACTCCAGCAGGAAATCAGAGTATCTAAAAATTCAGCAAAGTTAAAGTGACATCACTGTTGGATACATATTGCCTTTCATTTCAAGGGCACTGATAAACTCGTGTTCAGATTACACTTCCACTTAGCATTGCTTTCGGGAGAGTTGTCTGTATTCCTTTATCTGAACTTTTCTTCCTCTTCCTCTGGCTCCCAGAGATAAGTGATGAGGTTAGAGCTTCACCTACTTCCTGTGATGGCCTCTCAAGCCAGACAGTTTCTGTGTCTTAAACATGTCTGCAGAGGAAAAGGCGCCAATGTTCATTTAAAACCAAACAGTCTTCCAATGACAAGCCTCTGTGTGTTCTAATGGTGTCATAACCAGTTTCAAATATTCATTATCTTTTGTCATTTCAGTAAAGTAGTTATTAAGAAAATCAGCAAAGTCAAAGCCAGAGACTTTAGCATGTATTGTGGAACTATTCCTGATTGGTAAGCTATGTGGGAAGCTGGAAATTAAATTATATTCAGGCCTGTGTTCGTCTGCTTTGCATTACTGTGACAAAATGCCTGAGACAAACAAGTTGAAAGGAGAAAGGATGTATGTTGGCTCATATCTCCAGAGGTTGCGGTCCACCATGGTTGGCTGGCTTTGGGGCCTGTAGCAACACAGAGCATCATGGCTGGGAGGACGTGGTGGAGAAAGCTACTCACCTCAGGGCTGCTGGGAGGTAGGGAGAGAGAGAGAGAAGGGACTGGGGTCAAAATACACCCTTTGGAGTCATGCCCTCCATAGATAAGCTGCTTCTTCCTTCTCAGCCAGCCTCCTAGAGTCTCCACCACCTCCCAGTTAGGGATGAAGCCTTCAGACATGGCCAAACCAAAACAAGTCCCAACCTAAAATAATGGTCAGAACCCCTTTCCACTTAGACGGATTTCCCACCGTGCAATTCACTGCATGTTTGAATGGGTCTCCAGCGCAGCCTAAAGACTATTTTTTTCTTTTTGACCATTTGCCCTCCTGACTTGAGAACAACAACTCAACAGAGAGCTAAAGGAAGCTTTAATCCATCCTTTTCAAATAGAATTTTAAGCAGTAAATGGTGTGGCACAGTGGTTAAAGACCCTGGAGTCTGGAGCCTGTGTAGCTCTGGCTGCATTTCGTGGCCTGTGAGAGCTGCCTTCTTACATCTTTAAAGTGGGGACAAGATAGCGGATCCCACCGGACTTCCGTGAAGTTTAAGAGAGACAATGTACATGATAAGCCCAAGGCCTGGCTACAGCAGGGGTGCAGTGGGTGTTAGTGACTTTGCTTCAATTTGGACAAAAACTGGCCTTTTTAAAAGATCTTTCATAATTTTCCAGAAATTTACTTTAGTATCTAGTGAGACCAATGTGACCAAGGGTAAGTGGCCGTCAGTCAGGGTTCAGTCACAGCTCAGCTAAGTCCAAGTCAGCTGACAGAGCTAGAAACTCTGAAAGGTCTCAGGGTAAGTATGCTAGAAGTGCTCCTTTGATAGGGAGTAAAATGATAAAATAGACTCTCCCCTCCCTCTTGATGCAAAGCTTATGACAAAGAGCAAAAAAGAAGGCTGTTTTCAAGTGCTTGAGAACTGCAATATTATGGACTGCTTGGCTGTCAATGTAGGACAATGGCTTTCGTCATCTTTTGTGTATCCAGCACAACAGGAAGCCTGCGGGCTCCTTCCTCTGCTTCAGGCCTGCTGAATCCAAGCATGAGGCCCAGACACGGCCTTTTCTAAGCTCCAGAGGTGATTCACACTGCAGACGAAGCCTCTCTTCCAAGATCTCCAAAACCTTAACGGAGGCATCAAGATATGACGTAAGGTTTATACATACTAGCAGTGGGAAAGGCAAGGCTTTGAGAGATAGGCTTTGCTTCTCTGGATGAAAAATCATTTAGCAGAAATGAGCCCTGGACTTGGGTCCATGATCCCTCTGTCCACCTTGGCTGCAGATCTGTTGCTGATTGATTCTCCCATTCAGTCACTCCTTCACACTGTCCAAGCGTTTGGGTCACTACTTCATTTTGAAGACAACTTTTCTATCATGTAGGCACTAAGATGGTCCCCCTTGGAGTGCTCCTGCGGGACACAAAAAATGATATGACGCCGTCTCTTCCTGGAAGAAGCTTCCAACATTAGCTAACATTACCATGACCTTACTTTTTAGGGTTCTTCTACCCAAGACACCATGGGGCCTGTACGTGAGCCACGTTAGCAGGTGGGAGGATCTGATGAAGATTAGAAGGTCCTAATTAGGAGAAAACACCAGCAAAAACTGAAAAAGGGCAGAGACAAGACAAAGGGTGAGGGAATAAACCTTAATATTTAACATATTCTAATGGAAAACAGCTTAAGTCAGTGTGTTAGAAGAATTTTTAAAGAGTAAGCACTTGCAAATCTTCTCAAATTTTTATTATAAAACCCACACATATTAAGTTGTCTGGTCTGGTTATAAATAAAGAATAAAGAATCTGAAGAAAAACAGTGCTAGATTTTCTAGCCATTCAAAGAACACTTGTTGCCCCCTTGTGGGACTCTGAGAAATATTAGACAAGGAGTCTGTATCTCAAGTATAGATTTCAAATATATTTTCAAAGAGAGAGAATTAAAATTAAGCCTTGGAAAATTTCACAACTTTTTCAGCCACCTCAAAATGAATGTTACAGACCAAGACTAGAATTACCTAAGGTTTGATGTATTAAATCTTGCAGCATAGAGTTGTATAGTATGTATGTGGGTGTACACTGGAAGAAAATCCTGTGAAAGTGAGCTATGGAATGCAGGAAACCAAACAGGAATTGAGTAAAGGAAAACGGGCTTGGTGCCTCTAGTAGTAACCACATAGTACTAACTACATAGAAGTCAAATAGTGCACCTGAGCTTCTATTCGTCTTCATGGTGGTGGTACTGAAAACCCCAAGAATTGTCGAGGAGACTAAAGAACACATCAGATATAAAAATATCTCCAAATATAGAGCAACATACAGATGTGAGTAACTATTACATTTCAATTAGTGCCTGAAGAGCTCAAAGCTATTCAGTGGTTAGACAGAAACTCTGAAATTTGGTTTGCTAAATTCTAGTGGTAGGATTCAAGGTTCTCTCTTAAAGAGGTGGCATTTGGTTGAAATTTTGAGAGAAACGTAAAATCTTGGAAACTGGTCACTTTACGTTAATTTTGAAGGATGTACATACAGGAGGAGACTTTCATATTATTTGAGAAGAAATATAGGAACATAGAATCATCAATTTTAGGAAACCTCTGTGAAAGCCATGAATGTGACCAGGAGAATCTTTGTACATATTTTTTTCTTGGTAGCCTGTGACCTTGCTTTTGCTTTCAAGAGTGTAAGCAGTCATACTTGTGGAGATTTTCCCCCCCTCATTTGGAGAGAACTTTCATTTGACAGTTCACCATCCACTAAGACCACATAATACGGAGAGAGACCAAAAACTATAAGTGGAACTTTATCTTTGGCCTCCAAGAAGATTCACAAGCAAGCTTTTCTAGAGGAGTTGTTCAAACTTCACAGGACTGTTTCCGTACACATCCTGCTGATTCCACAGACTGGCTCATTCAAGCTCTACTGCAGACTGTCTCCAGTTGATGATGTGACGTCCTGGGTAGTGTGTGTGTCGGATGGAGACATCTGTTAGACTCTCACAGACTGCTCTCCCAAACATGGGTACGGCTCATCAAATCAGTGTAGGATCTCAATAGAACAAGGTACTGATTTCTACAAGAAAATGTTTGGCCACTAGACCACTTTTGAACTGGAATTACCCTACCACTCTCCTGTGTCTCCAGCCTGCTGCTGACTGACTCTTCCCATCTGAACTAGCCACGCCTCCATACCTGTGTGGGTCAATAATACCAGTACTTGATGTGGTTTATGGGCCACCAGTCAGAAATAATCGCTTGGGACTTAACTTCTGAACTGGAGACGAAGTTCAAGGCGTTTCCTGGCTGCTGTAGAGATGGTGGAACAACACACACCAGAAGATGCTTCTGCACTGGCATTTCACTTTGTGACGATGACAGGACTGAAACCCTTTGGTGGCCCATTTCTGGGCAGCTTTGGGAGCAGCTCTTGGAAACTTACCCAAGTTTCTTCGATTTTCTCAGTGCCACCAATGATTCTGGAAGTCACTTGACACCTATAATAAATCCTGCTCTGTTTAAACTAACACAGTAGACGCGACTCTCTGCAAATGCACTAACCCAGCACACTGGTTATCTGAGCCCTTGAAGCTCCTATTATGAGCTGAACACAGGAGTAGTGGTGATCAGACAAAAGACTTTCTGAGACATCCAGTTGAAGCTCCAGGTAAACAGAAACTCCATACTACTTCCCCTTTCTGTGTCACACAGGCTAATTCCACCAAATTTGGATTTCTTTTGTTATTTACCATGCTTTCTGCATACACAAGTAAGGAATGATCCCAATGTCGCACTATCCAGGACACCAACTTTACCCTAGGCTATAAGAATGACCTTCCCACAGTGACATCAAAGAAAAAATTCACTGCGTAACTAAACAAAGGGCAAAGGGAACAAGAGATGCTATACAAACCCTCAGTTTTTGCCCATGAAGACCAACCCATAAATATGTCTTCATGCTGGGAAACATGGCTTTCTATGTCTGCCTCCCATCCTTACAACCTTAAAAAAATTCAAGGCTTGATATTGGCAGCCAGTTCTGTAAAGGTAATGTTATTTATATGAGTCAGGCTTTCTCCATCATTCTTTGGATAAAGAACAAGGACAACCTCACTTTCAGACCATGAAGACATGAATACGGCCTTAGGAGAAAGAAAAGCCTGCAAGGGGAGAAGAATCTTAGAAGTTCACAGCGTTGTTTTAGCTGCCGTATTACTTATGTAAAACAACTTACTTATGTTGCTGTGTTCCCATGGTTGCTTCCTAGAGAAACATAACAAACAAACTGCATATCACCATTCATGTGCCACCAAAGGAAAGTTCCTACCCAGGGCTATGGGTCTGTTCTGAAAATTGTATTATAAAGAGCAGCCCAGCAATATCTGACTGCTTGGATCGGGTACTGAGGGGCAACTACATAACTCAGGCACTGCGGCTACATACTAAGGCACACACACTTTTATGTTCTCGCGTGTCAGGAGGGTTACAGCCCCCAGCAAGATGTCCTTTGTGTGCTCATTGCACCAAGGCAGAGGCTTTTTTCAAAGTCGAAGTCTGAGAAATCATCACTTCCGTGCAATTCTAGGTCTGCCATAGCTTGACTTCCGCTCCCCTTTCTTCCCTTGTCTTGCCCCAAATTCTGCCCCTGCTCTGTTGTTTTACCTTTCCTGTCTCTGTCTCATTCTCTGAGTCTCACTTGCAGCAACAAGGAGCACTTCCGTCCCCTCTGTGCTGACTTAGAACCTCTTCCGTTTTTAGATTCCAGGACCAGGTGTCATTCCTGTCCCTCTCACTGTCACAGGACACACGTACCCAACTGTGTCTCTTTTTCACTGTATTTGCCATAGATGCTGATGTTCATTTGGCCAGAAGGATTCTGATTATATTATCTTTCTCCCGCACTCAAACACAAACCCACACACAGGAAACAGATGGTTTTATTCCTTGTTTCACTCCTATGACCCAGAAGAGTGGTGGCCTATAGTAGATACTAAGTAGGGATTTGCTGAATGAATTAATTAGTGAGAGGATTTTGAAAGGAAAAGTGCTGATGAGTTAGTTATGCTTAGGAATTAACAAAAATGATGGGGCCCTGCACCAGACAGAGTGGAAGGGTAGGAGCCAGACATAGGAAGTCACGTTTCCCGGGAACTGATGTATTTATGAATCTCTTTTCATGGGAAAAACCTACATTTCACAAAGCCAGAAGCAGAGGGCAGAGACTAAGTTTTATGTCTCTCAAACTGAGTACAGAATCTGGTAACAGTACTAGGTACCAACCCATATTTGTTAATCAAATACAACTGTGTCCTCTTGTCTCAATTCTGATAAAGACCATACTTCCAATTGCTTTAAAAGAAACTGACCAATCCACTTCCCCAGGTCAAATTTCACTGGCAAAATGCAATGCAGCATAGCCAGTGAAAATAGATTGAGCTCTTTGCCCAAAAGATGTTTATTTATTATTAATGTTTTTAGTCAATTAAGGGATGAAGAAAAGGATAAGCTTATCATAAGCTTATCACTTATGACATCAGGTTGTCCTGCTTAAAATGTGCCACAGTGCCAAAGAAGAGTGAATATTAATTATAGAGTCACTTGGTACTGCTAATTACTAGCTTGAGCCACTTATCTACTGTATAGTAATAAATGAAAACTTAAATATATGGTAACACATATATACGTAGAAAATGCAATTAATTTTGGTACAGGGGCTATGGCATGTTTTAAAGACAAATTTTATACACTGCTTCATAAGATGCAATAGGTAGATATTACTGAAGTTTCAGGATATCATAGAACCAAGAAATAGTGGTTTCAATGTTTTAATTTTATATCTCTAGTCCACACTGTATTGTTCTATGTTCTATATCTGTAAATGCTTTGAGATCTGTGATACTGACAAGGGCAGGAATTTAGAATACAAAATTCTGTTATGGTTTTTGACTGTCCTGATGACTTTACTGGAGAAATTAAGTGACAGTATTTGCATTTTATTTATTTATACAATGACTGTGATCATAAGTAATAATACCATTTTGTTTTCACAAAATGAGGAAACTGACATGGAGAACTTTTAAGAAATATCTTCAGTCTAGTAATAGGTCAGTGAATAAACTGGAAATCTATGCAACATTTATCTATCCAAACAGCAATATTTTAAAAGTAATCAGAAATGAAAGAAAACCAGTCAGTATTTCTGAAATATTTTTTATTTTTTATTTTTGTAAATACTAAGCTTATCTCATCTGACTTCATCTATGGTGTATAACAGCAATCAGAGGAATTTATTTTATACTAAAGGCTATTTTAAGCTAAGAAATATTGGCACCCTCTGCCCCGCAAGTTGTCAAGCTTGGAACACTTGGGATTAATAAGCCGTGGAACACACGTTATCACTGGGAGAGAAGCCCTGGAAACTGGTGAAATCTTTCCATCTTCTTCGACTCCATACATTGAAAATGGTCAGATCTAACCAGGTTCTTCCAAGACATCTTTCTCCCTTTGGTTTCTGAATATGTGTTACTAGAAGAGAAAGGGAAGGAAAAATCAGAATTCTGCAGCTATGTTTTTGGATTTATTGAGTGGAAAAAGTCATAGACAGGACGTGAAAAAGAAAGATCCAAACCTATACCCCCTACCTTTTGAAGAGTCTTTTTTCTTCTTAATCATAAGACCAAAACCTTTGAAGCGAGCTCCCTTTTCTCCCCAGAGGCTTTTCCAGGCCCCCTGGCTTTTGAGCCTCTCCTTGTGGCCTGATCGGTTTCAGTGAAAATATTTGAGGCATGTGGCATTGTAATCAAGGAAGCCCGTTGTATCTAAACCAGTCCATAAAACAACAAATCTGCTGTTCGAGGGATCCTTTTCAAACAGCAGAAGGGCTGGGCAGAGCAAGCCTTAATTAATCATTATTTTTAAAGTGGCTCATTCATGGCAAACAGACCTCAGGGATGCATAAATCACGGGAAAGACCCAAGACCCCTAGTAAAATTTACCCGGAGCACTTTGTGCTGTGACCTCCAGTGGAGTATTTTAACTTCTAAACAAAAAGGGCCCAAACCCTATCAGTTGAGCCCTCTTGGCAAAGTAGCCTATTTTTCTCCACTGTCAGTTTCCCAGGAGGACACTCTTGGGGTGACAGTACCCCAGCGGGCCCTTCAAATCGGGATGAAGCTGGGCTTGCCTCTCAGGGCGCCCTTGAAAGGGAGACTCCCAGCAGCCCACAGAAGTTTCTTAGAACAGACTCTGCCACTTAAAAGCAGGGTAAATGCTGCCTTTATTGCTGTCTCTAAATTCACGCTCTGCTTTGTTGCGACAGTTGGTGGAGAAGGGTCCAGCTGCCCCCACGTAGCGGGTCTCCTTCTCCCGCAGACAGCACTGATGACAGCTGAGCATGTTCCTTCCACATCCCTGCAGCCCTGTGCAGGAAGCGCTCCAACCGGAAGGAAATCAAGCAGCTCACTTCACCGAAAATATGCAGCTGGTTCACCTTCTAACGGGATTTGCCCACGAATCGCACTCATAAATTATGCTCGCCTTTCTTGTGCTGTTTTAATAGCTATAAAAAGTAAGTTGGTGCCCAGTGTAGCTATCCACTGTCTAACAGTCTATCTGTAATCTACTGTCTATTGTCTGTCCACAGTCTATCAGTCTCCCACCTGTACTATCATCTGTCATCCATGTACCTATCTAGGCACCATCTACCTGCTAACATCTATCTGTCTGTCATCTATCTATCTACCAATCACCTATCTACCAATCATCTATCCATCAGTCATCTATCTATCTATCTCTATTATCTGTTTTGTTGAATAAAATGAACACAGTTGTCCCTTTTAGAGACTTTTCTTAGGCTGGAAAGCTGCACCCCGTATTTCAGAGGCTGCATGCGCTCATTCTTACTTCCTCACACCCTTTCCTTTACTTCAACCTGGAAAACTAAGACGAGTGTGGAAACCAGTGTGAGGGGCTGCTGTGTGAAACCCGGGCCAGCTCTGCTTGGTGAAGGTGACATGTGTCAAAGAGTCGCCTTCAACAGATGGAAGCAGGCAGAGCTCGGGAGGGGGCCAGAGCGGGGGCCAGACTTCCCGTGTGTGGGGGCCACGAAAGCATGGACACCATGGCCGGCGGCCTGACTTCCTCTGCCCATGTGTCCAAGTCCCTTTCCTGAGGACCTAAACCCCACCACATCCATAACATTGATGCTAATTCAAGCAGACGTGTACCGGGGTGGTCTGGGGAGGGTGGTCGCTTGTCTCTCATCAGCCTGGCGACAGAGAAAGAGGCGCTCCCCATCTCCTAGCTTCAGGGAGCTCCTTTGCCCCCACTTTTAGGTTAAGGGTGGTCAGGAACACTGAAAGAGCTCTGCTCTCTGTGAGTCTGAGATAAGCATCTAGCTCCATGCCAGTATGTACGCCAATACGTATACCCTTTGTTTAAATCTTAGAGGAAATTTGAAAGGTAGAAAATCAAGATGACAAAAAGATGAAGTGATCAGCTGTTCTAGTCAGAGGTCATGAAAGGGAAAGCGAGAGCCTGATGCAGAGGAAGAGGACGAAGGCAGAGCTGGGGCGCGGGGCGGAAGGGCACAGCTGGAGGAAGCAAAGAGCAGGTCCGAGCTTCCCCTTCACGACCAGAGTGCCTGACACCAGCCTCTGAAATGCACTCCGCACCAGGCCGGCTCTGGCCCTCAGAGTGCAGACCCTGGAGAGACCTTGAAACATGACCACCACTCACCAGTGACATCAAATGTTTTCAAAAGGGGCTTTTATGACTTCCAGATGACGGTTGGAGTCTCTCCCAGGCTCACGCAAGCAGCACGCTTTCTCAGCTCTCATCACGGGGGACTGGGACCGTTGCGCACAGCACACCCGCGGGCTCATTCATGGAAGGCGATCAGGAAACTGAAAAACGCTGCTCTAAGCTATATTTCAGGGCAACAGCAAAACAAAACAAAAAAACGCTCGGTTTACGATGGAAACAATCTTTTCGTCATGATTTCTGTGACTCACCTCGGGCAAATCGCGGCCCGAGTTGTGACACACAGCCCCCTCACACCTATGGTTCAGCCTTGTAACTTCCAGTCTGGGACCTTCACAAACGTGTTCTCTTCAAAGGGATTTTAATTTTTTTTTTTTTAATTTGATGTTATTTGTAAGGAAATCTTGCCCTCTAGCTTTCAAGTCTCAAAACTGAATTTAACCTCATGGAAGCGCTGCAGTGGCAGATAAATGGACGGATATCACCATCTAGTGGACAGAGGTTGGAGGGCACACTGAATTTAAAAAGCAAGAAAGGCGGAGGGATTTTGTTCCTGTCACAGGGAAATGCTAATGGATATATATTTTTTCTTTATCTGTAGACTCCCACTGTACTATTTGTAATAAGTCTATTTTCTATTTCATCATGGACATTGATAACCTCTTTCCATAAATAAGAAGGGCTCATCATGGTCCACTGTCACCCATTAAGATAACATGACCTCTCTCTAACAGATGATGCAAATCCACTCGTTTGTTATAAAATTACAAAGCAGCAAATCTTATCTTTCAAGTAATCGCCCCTGGGAATGCAGCAGAACAGGTATAATAGAAAGTGTGCACTCTTCTGACATAGCCCAAAAGGACTTAACTCACCCATGGCCTGTGGGGGCCGCCAGAAGGTCGCTGACCAGTTATGACCAGTGCCTGTGACGACCGCTAACTGCTTCAAGTGGGTGCAGAAGCGAGTGGTTTAGCCTGGGAAGACGTCATCCTGCCCACTTTCTGACAATTTTTTTAAACTGTTGTTTTATCAATATGTGCTTGTGGTACCTAATGTTTATGTTCCGTGTGGGAAATTGATGTATGTATAAAATACATCATAATTCTCTTTCTTATCCCCTTTCCTTAGCCTCCTCCAGCCACTGGTCCCTTTCCCCTTTGAGGAAGATCTAATGCCCTACTTCCTCTTATCTGTCTTTTATTTTGCTGCTTATTTGTAATTTCAGTTTCTCATATAAGAGAAACCATGCAGTGTTTGTGTAGCCGATTTATTTCACTTAACTTTATGGTCCCGAGAGGCTGTTGGTTTGACTTAGCTTTACTTAATCATTCTCTAAAGGACATCAGTGATTCTCTTTGCTGAGAAAAGAAACAGATGAGAGTCAGTCCTCATCAGAAAGATATATTACAGGCAGGGGGAAGAAGCCAACAATTTTATAAACTAGATAGGGATCACCAGGGTCTGAACATTTGTCCTCTCTGAATCCCAAGTAGAAACAGAATTGCCATTGAGACAGTGTGAAGAGGTGGGACCTTTGTGAAACACTCGGGTGCTGGGGTTCCTTAGCTGGTCGGTGCTGTTATTTCCAGAGCAGGTTGCTACGAAATGAGCCCGACTTTCTAGGCTGGGCTCTTGGTACAGCTTGCTGCCTCGCTGCCCTCTGCCATGAGGTGACGCAGCCCAAACGCCCTCAGCAGATGTGGCCCCTCAGTCTTGGATTTCACAGCCTCCAGAACCACGGGATAGATGAATCTCTGTTCATTATAAGTGACCCAGTCCATAGCATTGTGGTAGCAACAGAAAACAGACCGAGAGTGGGATGGACAGACAGTAGGATGAGCGGGGCCTGTTGTCTCATTCAAAATCTGAGAGAGTTGCCTCCCGGCGGGGGGGGGGGCGGAACTCAGTTTATACCTGCTTACTTCGTTTTGAAAGTTGAGTCATATAAATATATTATGGATTTTAAAAAAGAAGAAGAATGCTGGCCCGTGGCAGGTGCTCAGTGAATTTTATTGAAAGATGAGCAAGGGAGAGAGAGAGAGAGACAGAGAGACAGAGAGAGAAAGAAAATAGGAATTAGGAGAGAAGGATCAATGTCTGGATGTGTTGAGCCTGCCGTGTTTGCTGTTGCTGGAAAAACCCACTGAGGAGGTGTAGTCACTCATTACTCTATGGTGTAAAGAGCATCTTGAGTGGAGGACCTTCGGGCTACAAAAGAAAGTCAAGGCCCACAGTGTGGATGGGATGGTCCTCAGGTGGGGACTACCAGGCATTGGTTCATTCACTCCAGAGGTAGCTGCTAGGTGGTGCCCTGCAGCAGGCACAGTACCGAGCACCATGGGTATACAGAGGACCAGGACAGAAGTGGCAGCTGTCTTCGGGGACCGGGCACAAAAGGCAGGCAGGATCCTCAGGGATCTCCCGAGGCAGTGCCCTCTACCTCGTCTTCTGGACCAGCTTTCTCTGGGTGAGTGTCCTGGAGACAAGGGCACAAGACAGTGAAATCGAATAGCAACTTGTGAGTATGCTGATAATGTGTAAGTTGTGAGGACGAAGCAGTGATGCTGTGTCATTCCAGAGCAGGGTACACAGCTCATTTGGGTGGGACTTACTCTACCTCCTCATTCATGGTGGAAAACACCTTCCAGACAAGAAAGAAGCACCCCAATGACATTTGAGTGGTTTAAGTGGCAGTGAGAAAACAGGTGTGACTTTTCTCTGCTATTATGGAGAAAACCTACTGCTCTTGATGGCTTCAAAAAGACCCCGTCCCCGTTCCCCTGGTCCTGTCTCTGAGCTAAGGAAGAGAGGATGATGGTGACAGCGTAGTGAGCTTCCCAGATTGTGAGGCATGTAGTTTCTTCATGTTTATATAAGCTGATGGTACCCACAATCTGATAACCTGGAAAGTATATGACAAATGACTTGACCTTGTATCTCCAGAAATAGAAGAGATTCGTGTGCTCAGATTAACACTGAACTTCGAGAGGTACATGCTTGTGATTACTCCCGCAACCCTAGGGGTAACTGTGGGAAAATGGAAAGCTTTCCTTGGGATCTTGCTTCTGAGCTCATGGATAGGTTTGGCTATGCCCTTGGCAGCAAGGCGCAAATGCGATAGAATATGACGGCCGAGAGAAATGGTCCTTTGCACAAGATTGCAGCTCTCCCCATCAGCCAGACAGGGCACCTTTCATTTACAAACTCCTTCTCCTATCACAAGTCATTGCTCTGCTGACCCACAGCCCAGCAAACCAGCCCAAGCCAGCCAAAACCAGCCAAAACCAGCCATAATATTCCCAGCGGTGACTTACAGTGCGCAATGTTCAGATGCTTAATTTGTGTCTTCAAATCCTGTTCCTGGATGCAGAATGCCCACTTCCGCCTTGATGATGCCCCTAAGGTGGAGGTACTAGCAGGAAGGCAGCTGGACTGAACTCGGTGTCTCAGCCGGAGGCCTGCGCTCAGCACCGCCCCACACGCTGCCTCAGAACGGCCCCCATCCAGTAACTCTCCTTACCCCTAGCAGCACTCACGCAGGGTCAGGGCCACCCTGTGTATACTTAGTGCTTTGAACTTGGTCCCCTGTGGATGTACCAATCACTGTGCTGGGTAATGAGGACTTATGAGCAAAAAACTACTTAAAGAAAGAAAAGTACTCACTTTCTGCTATACTTCCCTTTTGCATGAAGTCAGAACTTGTAATTATTCTTAGCACGGTTGCTGGTTAATGGCTGCCTCCCATATCAGAGTGGGAGTTCCCGAGAGCAGAACTTGTGACCCTCCTGCCTCAGCCTCCCAGCGTGCGGGAGTTACAGGTACGCCCCACCAGGCCTAGTTAGTACTG